AATCCACTCACCTCAGCCTCCCAAGGCGTGGGATTACAGGCTGAGCCACCGAGCCCAGCTGATTTTTTTTTTTAAGAGAAAAGGTCTCACTCTGTCACCCAGGCTGGAGTGGAGTGGTGGGATCATAACTCACTGTAAGCTCGAACTTTTGGGCTTAAGCGATCTTCCCACCTCAGCCTCCTGAGTAGCTAGGACTATAAGTGTGTACCACCACACCTGGCTAATTTTTAATTTTTTTTGTAGAGACAGGTTCTTGCTATTTTGTTCAGGCTGCTCTTGAACTTCAGGCCTCAAGCAATACTTCTACCTTGGCCTCCCAAAGCACTGGGATTACAGTCATGAACCACCACAACTAGGCCAACATTTTTGAATAATAGAGTAGCCATTTTTATCACCTTTTATTTTTCAGTTTATTACCTGGTATAGACTTGGATTTCTACTTGTTCCCAGTGACTTATAATTTATTACTGTATTTAATTAATTTGGTACTTAGTTCCATATTTGGCCAGTTAGGAGCCCCTTTAAGCTGGCTTCTTTGTCCTATACAACCTCATTATATTATTATTTTTTAATGTGTTAAAGTATTATCTTACTCTCAGGCATAACAAGATAGATATTCTTAATCTTATCTTGTATGTGTCCTATCCCAGCCTTAGATTCAGCCATTGCTCTAAGGAGTCCAGGTTCCTATTAGTGAGAATGGTATTAGAGACCAAAATCTGGATGCTGTGTGTCCTCATTGTTATGGGGTGTCTATTTCTAAGCTCTTTAAGCAGAAGTAGAGAATACATACATATATACACATATAAACAGACATACATGCATATAGTTACATATACATATTTGCATGTGCGTGAACATTCACATATTCACATATATGAGCATATTTTAGAAATCTTACACCAGTACCTTCACATCCAATTAGTCCTCTGACTTTCAGTGTCTGTAAAGTAATATATCTTCAACTAAGTGTAGTTTTGGTCACTGTAGGAAGACTCTTTTTTTTTCTTTTTAGTTGGAGTCTCACTCTGTTGCCCAGACTGGAATGCAGTGGCATGCTCACGGCCACCGCAGCCTTGACCTGCTAGGCTCAGGTGATCCTTCCGCCTCAGCCTTCCAAGTAGCTGGAATTATAGGCATTTGCCACCATGCCTGGCTTTTTTATTTATTGTAGAGATGAGGTCTCGCCAAGTGGCTTAGGCTGGTCTTGAACCCGTGGGCTCAGGCAATCCTCTCACCTAAGCATCCTATAGTGCTGGGATTATAAGTGTGAGCCACCATGCCTGGCCAGGAAGACTCTTAATAGTGGCTCTGAAAATGGGCATCTATCCTTGTTCTTTGGAAGGAAAAACACTTCTAGGAAAAAAAAACACTTATTTTTTTAATGTACTTTATTCTCAAACTGCCCTTCCACCTGCTTTGCCTTAGCTTTTGGCCTCTTCTTGATCTACTTCTTGCCCTATCTCTCACTCAGAGGAAGACAGGTTCGGGTAAACTGTCGTAACTCATAACTAAGCAGCTGGAAATTTTCCTACCAATGGTAAACCAATGAATTGCAATCCAACTTCATTTAGTTTTATGTTCATCTATAAACTGGTATTAGTTCTGTAGGGCTGGGTTCCCAAAATTTATCTATCAAAATGTGATTTTTTTATTTTCCCAAATCCTGTTATTTTTGGAGATTATTACATATGGGATAAGAGGTGTAGAATGTTGATAAAGATTTAAGTTACTAATAGAGGTAAATTGTAACTAGGTCTTCTTTCCCAGAAGACCCTCTTCTTACCTCCCTTCAAAACCATTCCCACAACTCAGAAAGACCAGCTACCAGCCAGTCTTGGGTAGTGCTAGGGCAGTGACTTACCAAGTAAGACTCTAAGAGCAGTTGATAGTTTCTTTGGAAATTTTCTCAGAGATCTTTCACTGAAAGATATTTTCCCTCCTTTTGGGATCCTTCAGATCTATCTTCTAAGGCAGCAAGTACCCCAAAGAAGAAGACTGTCATCCAGGCTAAGTTAACAACCACTGGCCAGGTGACATCTCCAGTGAAAGATGCCTCGTTTGTCACCAATACCAATCCCCGGAAATTTTCTGGATTTTCAGGTAAGATAGGTTAGGCCTGCATTGGCTGTTATGATGCTTTTTATTTGGTATTCTAGTTAGGGCTCTGGCTAAGAGTGCAGGTCTTGTGCTATCTAGTCTCAATAATTTGCTTTGGCCGGGGCAGTGATTCAAGTCTGTGATCCCAGCACTTTGGGAGGCCAAGATGAAAGGATTGCCTGAGCCCAGGGGTTCAAGACCAGTCTGGGCAGCTTGGTGAGACTTTGTCTCTACAATAAATTAAAAAAATTAGCTGGGCATAGTGGTGCATGCCTATAGTTCCAGTTACTTGGAAGGCTGAGGCAGAAGGATCTCCAGAGCCCAGCAGATCAAAGCTGTGATGGCTGTGAGTATGCCACTGCACTCCAGCCTGGGCAACAGAGTGAGACTCTGACTCAAATAATAATAGCAATAATAATAATAATTTGCTTCTATTGGTGCAGGGACAGCTAAAGGCTAATAATTCTCAGCATTCCATTTGTATAGCATTTCTTTGTATACTTTAATTTTTATTGTAGCAGAAAGATGTTTGCTTAGGCAAGACTTTTTCTCCTTGAAGTCAAGTTACCTGGGTCACACAGAGATTTTATAACCTGCCTTTTACTTCCTGGTGTTTTGCTAATGAAAGGATTTTGAGAAATTGCAGTGCTTAGCTTGCCTGGATTGGAGATAAAAGTATGGAAGAAGGAAGGTGTCTTGCATGGATTGTATCTCTTGATTTCTTTGTTCAAAGTGTTGGAATGTTTGTGAAACAGGGAGCAGGAAGGAAAAAAGAATCTGGAGAGTATTGCTATTTGTTGGCAGGCTCTATAGCCTACTGAGGAAGCTTGCAGACTCTGGAATCAGTGAGCTCTCGGTTTAAATCCTATTTCCTAAAGAGGTGGATTATGGTCATTATTTGTATCTTCTTGGCAGGATAGATGAACGGTAAAATGTTGTTTCCTTTTCACTGTTACATATATACATATGTAATTTCTTTTACATGAAATATAAAAGAAGTATTTCATAGACAAGGATTCAGAAAAACTTTGCTAGGGTATGAAATGTAGATCAGGATCATTTATTGGCCTTGTGTAACATAGCATTGAGCTGGGGGCTTTTACATATGTAGTTTCATTTGTTCTTCATTTAACCGTAGAAAGTACTTTTATTAGGCCCATTTTACAATGAGAAAGTTGAAGTTGAGGTTTATTTTGGAGTTAGCATTCGTCCTGAAGTCTCACTCCAACACCTGTGGGGTTTTTGGGGGTTTTTTTGTTGTTTTGAGTTGGAGTCTCACTGTTGCCCAGGCTGAAGTACAGTGGCACGCTCATAGCTGCCGCAGCCTCTACCTGCTGATGATCCTTCTGCCTCAGGCTTCCAAGTAGCTGGAACTATAAGCATGGGCTACCATACCCAGCTAATTTTTTGATTTATTGTAGAGATGAGGTCTTGCCAAGTTGCCCAGGCTGGTCTTGAACTCCTGAGCTCAGGGAATCCTCTCACCTCTGCCTCCCAAAGCGTTGGGATTGCAGGCTTGAGCCACTGAGCCTGGCACCTGTATTCTTTTACCCTACATTTTGTTGCCTCTTTTTTTTTTTTTTGAGTCAGTATCTCACTCTCACCCTAGCTGGAGTGCAGTGGCATGATCATGGCTCACTACAGCATCGATCTCCTGGACTCAGGCGATCCTTCTGCCTCAGCCTTCCAAGTAACTGGGACTACAGATGTGCACCACCATGCCTGGCTAATTTTTCTTTTTTTTTTGTAGAGACAAGGTCTCGCTATGTTGCCAAGGTGGGCCTCTTTTATTATTCGGAGACATTCTTATGATTGACTCAGTTGAAGAAAGTAAATGCAGCCAAACCACTTGGACTCAGAAGTTTTTAGGGGATTGAAAAAAGTTTATACCTGCGATCAGAAGACTTGGATTCTGATCCCTGGACTGTCCTTGACAGCTTAGAGTCCTGAGCAAGTCTTCACCTCTCTGAGCCTCTGTGGCCTTGTATGTGAAGCAGAAGTGGCCTCTCCTACTGTAGTGACATACACAGGATGCTGTGGGAACATAGGCAGCGATACAGCAATCCCTTTTGAGCCCTGCTTCCTTGTTTATGCATTTATTTGTTAAAGCTACCTTTCTCCATGCCTTATCTACACCACAGTGTTCTCACGAGGACTATAGGAGATAACATTGCAAAAATGGTGCCAGACTCTATGGGATTTTTTTTTTTTTTTTTAACTCTGAGGCTTGTTGGATTTTGTTTGATGGTATGCCTGAAACAGAAGTACAGAAGGGTCCAGGTAATGATAAGGACAGCATGTTGCTAGAGGGGCTCTGCTGTTGGGGATGGAATTTGGGAGGAGTTGAGAGACACAGGGTGTTCTAGTTCTTGCAGCCTGGCTGAACATCGATGCTGTGGAGATTTTGTCCCCTGAAATCCTATTTAGACTTCACATCAGAGATAAGGATGGATTTATAATTTACAAAACCCGTAGAAGCAGCAGCTTGCATCAGCAGCCAACTTACTAATGGCTCTACTGCTAGCTTACAGAATGAAATTTGCTTTGTAAATGGTCACAAGGAGGTGAGAGGGAATCATGGGAGAGTTGTACATAATTATTTTTAGATGTCTAGAGGAAAGCCCTGCTCATTGACTACCTTTTATTGTGACAATAAGAAAGAAAAGGGGCTGGGCTCAGTGGCTCAGCTTGTAATCCCAGCACTTTGCGAGGCCGAGGCAAGTGGATTGCCTGAGCCTGTGGGTTTGAGACCTACCTGGGCAACTTGGCAAGACCTTGTCTCTACAATAAATCAAAAATTAGCCGGGCGTGGT